CAATTTTTAAAATAGTGAAATTTATATAAAACACCCATTTTTTAAAATTCTTTTTATTTTTAGTAGTTTAATCTTATGATATTTATGGAAGATTGTAAACATAGAGATGATCCAATCATAATTAAGATAACATATTGTGTGTCATTATTATTTTTTCACTGTGTAGTTAATTATACGAATTAAATTAAGTCTCAATAATAGGCCTCGAAACCCAACATCCCCTTCCATAGGAAAAAAAAAGAACAGTTGGATGCAGATGGGCTTATAAAGTCAAACTAAAGTCAAACAGATCAATTGAACGGTACAAAGTCGAGTTAATAACGAAATCGTACACACAAAATATGAAATTGATTACCAGGAAGCATTTGCTTCAGTTGCTAAAAGCAGTACTAACAGAGTTCTTATATCTGTTGCTACAAATTTGGATTGACCGCTCTATTAAATTGATGTGAATAATGCATTCTTGCATGGAGACCTGATAGAAGAAGTTTATATGGATCTCACCAAGATGTAATATGCCTTCTAAGAATCAAATGTGCAAACTAAACCAGCCCTCTTTTAAGGCCTGAAATAATCTCCTCGAGCATCATTTGGCAGATTCACCAAGTCAATGAAGGCGTTTGGTAAGGACAAAGCAATTTTAACTATACATTATTCTTGAATTGTAAGAAAGGTAAAATCACTGCATTGGTTCTTTATGTAAATGACATGATGGTGACAATGGATGATCCTCAAGAAAGAGCTTTACTACAAACATACTTGTCCCAAGTGTTTGAGATGAAAGCCCCTAGTCCCCTAAAGTATTTATTGGGGATCAAAGTGTTCAGATCGCCAAAAGTATTTTCCTATCTCAATGAAAATACGTGTTGAGACAAAAATAAAGTATGTCTCATAACATTTGTGAGATGTGGATTCGGAATTTACTTTCAGGTTTAGGCTTTAAACAACGAAAACCAATGAAGTTGCATTGTGATAACAAGGCTTCAATCAACACTATTCACAATCCAGTTCAACATGATCGAACTGCACATGTTGAAGTGCTTCGAGAATTCATCAAAGAGAAATTGAAAGTTGGACTAAATTTTGTTCTATTTGTTAAGTCTAAAAATTAACAGGCAAATCTTCTTAAATAAATGGTGTCCAACAAAGTGTATCATGGCTCACTCGACAAGTTGAGTATTAATAACATCTATACATCGACTTGAAAGTCTACAATCATATAGTTTTCTATTCTCTTGTAATTAGCATATATATTGACTTCATACGAAGCAAAATTTTCAAACATTTTAGCATTGAGTTTGTAAGTCAAGGAATACTATACAGTATTTTACATGTGTGGAAGAAATATGTCTGTTTTTTTGAAATTTTTATAATATTTTAAAATTTAAAAGAATATTGGTTGTCTAAACTAAAACACATGAAGTGGAAAAAAAGCTGAAAATATGAAAAGGTGGGAAAGGCTAAATTATTTTAGGAATAGAATTATTGAAGGGTGAGAAAAGGCGGAATATGAACTGTCAGAGGGGAAGGGACAGACAGGTTTAATCGTGACAGCTGGGTGCCAGGCTGCCAGCTGAGGTGTGTCAGAAAGGCTTTAAAGTTTTATTTTTAAATGACATGGTGTGTGGGTGTTGTCAGTGTTCAGGATACAGCATCCAAGAACAACACTTGGGTGCTGACTGGGAAGTACCCAAATTACTGACCATCTTAAGTAAACAACTAAATTTAAAACACTTTGTCAAATGAAACTCCTCACAAGCTCCTACTATCCTTCTAACCAAACACACTATTTCTTCTCTTTTACTTGTATCCAAACAACCATCTTCTCTCCCACCAAAAACACAGCTGCCATACATCCACCATCACCTCGCTCTCCTTTCTCCCGAAGCCATGAGAGCTCCACCTCCTCAAATTTCTCCAAATCCATGACAGATCAGATCCGTCTTGCTAACCCGATATTTCACCAAGAAGAAAAATTATGAAGGAGGTTGAAATTATTCGGTGAAATTTCGACAAAGTTGGTGTTCGGTAATGCCATAGATTCCACGACGGAGATTCCGACGACGACGTCGGCCGAGTGCTGGCATGTGTTCCACGATAAAGAATAGGAGGATTTTGGGGAGGGATCGACAGAGAAAGGATGGAGGAGAAGCGAGTTGCGCCAACGGAGGAGACGAAGTTCTCGGAAGGCGTTGGGAAGACGAGGTTTCTGGCGATGAAACCATGGCAGAAGCAAAGAGGAGTGAGGCTGGAAGGGGAAGCGTTGAGGAAGAAAGGAGGTGTTTGGATGTGGGGTTAATATGGTGTTTGGTTACTTGTTTATAAATCTAAAATTGTAACAGGTGTTTTGATCTTATCGGGCCATTTCATACGCTCAGTTTCTTGGGTAGTGATTAGTCAGTACCCAAGTTTTAGAACGGGTTTATTGTATGGGAAGATGGGAAGAAGCTACACATGGTAAATATATTATTTTTACGAAAATGTTAATTACGCACCTATTTTTATTTTTTTAAATATTTTTATTAATTTTTTTAAAGGAAAACTAATGAAAAGGGTTTGAAAACTTTAAGTTTTAATGATAAGGACAAAATAAAAGGTAAAGTGAATAGTATCAGGATTGACTTTTTAGTATAAAAATGTGGTTTTTCGTTAAAGTGAACAGTACCGGATGCTTTTCGTTAAAATTCCCTTTTTTTAATTTAATCAATTTGATGGTTAAAAATTAAGAGGGGCATGTAGATAGCATTGCTCTATCTTTAATGGCTCGATTTTTTGTGTTGAATTGGAAGGAAAGGGATCCTCCGGATCCCTTCTACCTAATTGTTCGGAAGGAAAGGGATCATCCGGATCTCTTCCACCTAATTATTCTTATTAAATAATTCAAATCCTTGAAATTTGATTTAACAATTAAAATTATTATAACTTTTAAAATGAATCTATATTTTTAACTTAAATTTTAAGAATTCAGAATATTTAATGAAAAGAATTAAGTGAAAGGGATCTCGACATGATCCCTTTTCGAATTGGAAAAGCTGAAAAGCTGAATCTAGTAATAGATATTATAAATTTGGCAGCAGGATTTTAAACGTGAAATTATTTGACGAAAGGTGAAGGAAATTGTCAGACAAAGTTGATTGACAAGTTATACGAAACGAGTAAATGTACCAGTGGAGGTGTGTCAGATCTTGAATACTGCACTCAGTGGTGGGATAAAGGATGATAATATTTATTTTATTTTTTGGTGTTTTGGGTGTAAAAAGTAAAAAAACATTTTTCATTAGAAATATTGCATCCCAAACGGACCGAAGGGCCCAAAGGAAAACAAACCAAAATCCCCGAAACGCCATTGAGAAATAGTAACACCTCATAATAATTCAAGGCCCAAGGTAGGACATCATGTGAGTGACCCTGCAAATCCCGTTCCAACAACTCCCTAATTATATGCCTATTGTTAGTTCTCCCCTCCCTCCCGTATTTGAGATGGATCATTCTGATAGATTTTATTTTATTTTTTTAAGGGAGACAACTGATAGCAAGTAACAGTCATCTATCAATTCTGGAGGCTGAGAAGATTCAGAGAAACATTTTAACCTCCTCCTGACCACAAGTCTGACTTCTACACCAGTAACGATTATCCACCCCTGACTTCCATATTTGAGATGGATCATTATGATAGATGGAGGTAAACTAATAAGCTCCGATATTAATGAACTCTGTAGAAGAATTACACATTGAAAAATTAGTCTTTTCGTTTTCTTTTTAACAAGTAATCTACGCCCATAATGTGTTGTAACAAATTGGTATGCGAAGATGTGAATACACCTAATAATGGAATCGGCCGACACTCAATGAGGGTTGGTCGTAATATTAAAAGCAAGCCAAGCAGTACGGAGTTGAAGAATGCGGCTTTGGTTTTTAGAGGCAAAACGCTGTTGGAGAGCAAGCCAAACTTCGTGACAGCTGAATGACAAGCAGACACGGAAATCAATTGTTCCAGGAAAGCACAAGCTAGTTCTTCTAAACCCATTCAGCAAATGCGGGGTGTGTTTGGTAGAAACCTTGCTGGTTTCATCAGACAGGAACTGCGAGGGGCATTCCGAAGTACCATCAGCTGACAACTTTTAAGAACAGGAAGCAATTGAGCCAACCAGAGATAATAGCTGGATGAATTGAGCTTGATGTTGTTCGCGTGAGAAATGAAGGGGACGACATCATAGAAGGGGTGGTTGGGGCGGCCATAGAAAATGTGTAGGAAGGGTCAGAAAAAAGAACTGACGCTAGTCACTAGCTCTATGATACCATAAAAGGTTATGCACTACAGCAATCGTAGGAAGCACAACAAAGGAGGTAAGTGGCCCTCGATAATCTGGAGGGTGAATTATCATTGAATTATACGTAGTACAATTGCCTGATTGTGTAATTACTATACAATGAATACATAAGGGAACTTTTAATGATATAGGAAAATAAGAGATTATAGAGAATCTCGGTGAATAAGAAACCAATCATAAGAAATCAGGAGAATACCTGTCAAATATGAGGTTTACAACTCACTTTTATCATTTTTATTCTTTTTTTTTTCCTTTGTGGAAGTAATGCCTAATAGTCGAGCCTTGTAGCGCAAACTTGTAACTAAGGAGGACATTACTAGTATAAAAAACAGTTTGCGCGACGCAGGTACCTTTGTTGCGCAAAGTAAAAAAACGTTGCTTGAAAATTAGCCCAGCGAAACCTTTGTCGGGCGCCAATCGTTGCACCGAGACAGTGAAAGTAGGATTTGCGTGATGAAGAAGTAACCTGCGTCGAGCAAACCCTTTTTTTTTTTTGGCAAAAATATTTTTTATTTAATTTTTAATAAATATTGTAATTAAATTCTAAACAATAATTAATAAACCAAGAAAAAGTATTTAATTATAAAATATATGAAAATGTACATACAAGATGTTCAAATATAAAAGAAAAAACGACAACAAGTAGTCTTCTAGGCTTGATGCATCATGCTACTGGGTATTGGCTGGGCGGAGTGGCTGGGAGGTCGAAGATGGATCAAGATCATGTGCTGGCATCGGGATTTGGAGGCCGAACATCTGTAAGGCCCGTAAGATCATACTCATCTTCTCGTCTTGGGCAGAAAACTGGGCTACAATCTCGGCTTCCCATGCTTCCTGAGCTGCTGCTTTGGCTTCCCGTGCTGCTTGTTGGGCCGTAGGCTGACCTTTTAGGGTTGCCACTTCCTCCGTCAAGGTGATGACCTGTCCTGTGGTCGATTTGGAAGAGGAGGCATCCATCTCACAAACCTGCGCCTTCCCTATACACCGAACAACCTTGCCATGACAACGACTGAACTTCTGAGCAACAACAACAAGTCACCAAACTAGGAATGCTAAATAGTCATCAAACTAGGAATGTTATATACCACCAGAAATCCACTTGCAAATATGATTCACTAGTCACAACAAAAATATCCAATTTCTGAAAATTGCATTGAACCCAAGTCCTAATATTTCACCAAACACAAAAATTAAAATCCAAGAAATGCCCTCATAAGCAACAACCCATATATATCCAAACCAATTACCAATGCATATATTTAAAGACAACCGATTAAAACAATTTAACCAACAAAACAACCCGTGTAAAAAGATAATGCGAAAACACAGAAGCAACAATAGATGAATATTTGTACCAGTAATTCTCTGAGCAAGCCAACACTGAGCAAAACCCTATATTTGATAAATAGTCGTTAATTATATACTAACAATTAAATTGATCATTTTCAATGAAATTCACTCTTTTTTAAACAATAATAATAATAATGAACTGTTATTAGCATTTCAAAATTTTCATTTTGCATTCCTCATAAGTGTATTATTTTTTCTAACTATAGAAATGTGGAGTGTAAATTGTGAGGATGTGAAGGTATAAGAGTCCCACATTGGTAAAAGGAGAAATCTTGAAAGGCCATATAAAAGCTGGACTACTCCACATATTACCAATTGGTTTTATGGTGGAACCTTAACTTTAGCAGGTTGGCCTACGTGTGAAACTCAACGGCCACACGTACTCGACGTCACCCAATTCGTGTTATCTACATGTTTGGTGTGGATGCAAATTTCCGTCTTCTTCTTCTTGGACAAAATTGCACCTATAAAACAATCAACACCTTTGGTCAAGACCAAGAACCTCACGTGCCCACGATAAATGGTGGGGCTTTGGCCGAAGAACCTCCGATGCCAAAGTTAGAATTTAGAGAGAAAAAGTGTTTGAAGAGTTTTTGGAAATTTTGCAAGAGTATCAACTTAGCATTTTAGAAGAAATAGGTCATATATATAGGGAATTGGGTGTGGCCGGCCTTTAAGTGTGTTTTGGGGTGTTATTTGGTGATTCAATTAGCAAGTAATATATTAATTAGCTATAAATATATTAATTGGCTAATTATCATAATAAAAGAAATGTTTTGGGAGGTTTTTGGAGGTTATGGAATGAGGATGGATGAGACAAATTTGAAATTGTTACCTATTTTGGGTACTCCTGATTTGGTTGATGGATGATTCTCCATTGCTCGCGTGTAAAAGACCCGGTATGCCTCGAGGGTAAATTTGTCATCTTCACCCAAAAATCCACGTATCGCCTTGTGATTATTTTTGGCTCCACAAATGCCCCCACACCTGCTGGGCTGCTCGTAGGAAATGGCAGCAGGTATAGAGAGCTTCTTGCTTTAGGAAACGCAGGACTGCTTCCTATTTTGATGTAGATTCCCTTTTTAATAGGAAATTAGGTCCTTCTAGGAAAGGGAAATAAATTTATCTCAAAACCTATTTAAGTCCACCTTAAGTGGGTTATTAAATCAACTTTGGAGAGCGATTTATTCTACCCTACAAGAGAGAGAGAGAGCTTAGAGGATATTTGTTCCCTCTCATCTAGCAATCTTCTACATCTTGTCCGTGCAAATGACCGTCTTTCGTTGATTTCCTCGTCTTCTCTGTGCCGCACCGATGTAAGAAAAATTTAATTTTTTCTTGTCTTCTTCTTGGGAGGTGCTGCCACGGGGCAGCCATCAGAGTGGTGCGGCGCGTCGGCTGGTAGGGGCCAGGAATCGGCTTGTCATGGGCCAAGGAGGTGGCGTGGCATGGGCAACGATTTAGGCTGCCATGTCTGGCCTGCTTGCCAAAAATGAGGAAACTACTTGAGTTTGATTTCTCAGCTGCCGTAGATGGAGCAGTCAAGGATAAAGCTGCCAAGATTGGAGCTGGAGTGAACTGTTAAGTGCAAAAGTTGCTGACGCCCTTGACCATTTGCTGCCTAGTTGATCTTCAAGCATTCGATCTTTTAAGCTATGTGGCATTCTCGCACTGGAGAGCTTACCCAGATGGGTGTCGGGGAATTAGTTTACCCTATCGCATTACCCTCTCATGCTGGAGTACAATTAGTTTACCCTCTCGCGCTGGAGAGCAATTAGTTTATCCTCTCGCATTGGAGAGCAATTAGTTTATCCTCTCGCACTCGAGAGCAAACCCATATAGGTGTCGGGGAATTAGTTTACCTTCTCTCACTGGAGAGTAATTAGTTTATCTTCTCACACTGGAGAGCAAACCCTTTTGGGGTGTCGGGGAAATGGTTTACCCTCTCGCGCTGGAGAGCAATTAGTTAATCCTTTTATACTGGAGAGCTAACCCATACAAGTGTCGGGGAATTGGTTTACCCTCTCGCACTGGATAGCAATTAGTTTATCCTCTCGCACTAGAGAGCAAACCCATATGGGTGTCGGGGAATTGGTTTACCCTCTCGCACTGAAGAGCAATTAGTTTATCCTCTCACATTGGAGAGCGAATCCGTATGGGTTTTTAGTAGTCGTTATGGACAACAGTTGAGCCATGCCTAGGAATAACTTCTTAAATCTTCATTAAGAATAAAGAAATAAATCAACTGTGCTGGAAGACAGAAACTGCATAACAAACTAGATAATCTTCAGCTTGTGAATCCTTGTTCGTCGAGCTGCTTGAGACTTCAAACTTATTTGGAAAAGCCCAAACGAGGTTTAGAGGGTGATGGAGACTTCCCCTGTTTGTGTAGGCTGCTTCGTTGACTTGTCAAGATACTCGTCGCATCGGCCCTCATTTGTCAACTTCTTAAGATACTGCTTCCACTTCAAGAAGCCGTTGGTAGCGTGGCTTAGTCCTTGATGGAATGCGCAATACTTTGTATGATCCAGCCTAGTAAGATTGCCTTTCATGGGTGTCGGCAGTTCGAACCAAGGTTCGTTCTTGAGCTTGCGAAGAATTTGGCCGATTGGAACTGTGAATTTGGTGAATGTTTTAGGCGCTGAGTCTTCTCTAGTTAGGGAACGTTCCATGTGCTTCTTTTCCGACTCCTTTTTATTAGACTGCTTGGCCTCGTCCCATGGTGCATGTTTTTTTGCTAAAGCATACGAAGCTGCTAGGGTCAGTTCTTCTCCCATGATCAGTTTTCCGAATAAAGGATGTTTGGTGGGAAGTCCATTTCTGAATGCTTTCGTTGCTATGTCTTCGTTGCAACCAACATTCTTGGCCTTCTCCGTTTTGAATCTCTTGACATAGTCGCGAATTGTCTCCCAATGGTCTTTTACGATGCTGAAGAGATGGTCGGATGTCCTTTTGATTAAGCAGTTAGACGAATACTCCTTAGTTAAAACAAAGGAAAGTTTGTTAAAACTCCGGATTGACTGCGGGGACAGAGTGTGAAACCAGTCTAGCACCTCGCCTTGTAGAGTTGTGGCAAAAATTTTGCACATAAGCGCATCGTTGTTCCTGTAAAGGATCATGGTACTGCGGTAGTGTTTGAGATGTCGATCTGGATCTTCGTCTCCCTTGTATGGAATGAAGTGAGGCATAGTGAGCCTGCGAGGTGGATCTGTTCGCTCGATCTCATTCGTGAATGGTGACATGCTTATGTTGGTCATGTCTCGTCGAAGCGCATCGTCAGCAGCCTCGTTATGTTGGAAATTGTGCAATAGTTCAGTTATGAGTCTCTCAACTTCTTCTTGAATTTACCTTTGTTGGGGTAGTGGAACTTTCGACTGCCTTTAATCATGACCTATGGGTCTAGGCCGCTCTTCCCTATGCTCGACTTGTCTATGTCGCGGCTGCGGCGCATGTGGCATGTACCTGGCAGGCAATGGCCGTTTGCAGGCTACCGGTTGAACTTGAGTCGGATTGAGTGACTGCTTCTTCTCTCCGTCTGTCGTGCTGCCTACTCCGATGTGAGGTGGATAATGTTCCTTGCGAGCCTAGTTGTGAATGAACATTTCGCCTGGAAGGTTGTCTAAGTTGATAATCGGAGTGTGACCTCAACTGTGAACGTATGCTCATCCGTGGGCTTGATTGGGAATACACGCTCCTCCGCGCACTAAGACGAGAGTATACGTTATCCCAAGGACCCAGGCGGGAGTGTAAATTGCCAGAATGCTTAGAACATGGTTGGTTAAGGGGCTGTTTACCGAGACGCTGGTGGAGAGGTTCATCTGCTCTTGTCCTACTTCAGGACACCTCGTCCAGGGCATGTTGGATCTCGATGCGTTGCAAGAGTTGATTCACCAAGGTTGTTTGTTGTGCAAGGGCACTCGTCAACTCTATGACTTGTCGAGACAATTGTTGTTCGCCATTTGGATTGGAAGAGCTTGGAAAGAATGTGCCTCATTGAGCAGTGGAAGTGTGGTAGACTCCAAGTGTAAGATTTGAATTGGGAAATGTCAAATATGGTGAAAATGTCCCCGGCTCGATGGTTGTTCTGGATGGTTGAGATATTCTCGGGCCAACTTGAGCTACTTGGGAAACCATAAGAGGCAAGGCTGCGGGAGCAGGCTGCTCAATGCGTGGTGCATGCGAATGCGAGGCTTAGGCTCAGGCCCGTGCAAGCTTGGATGGCATGGCTTGGGCCATGGTGGAACCTTGTAGTGGTGGTGCCACTCTGCTTACGACAACATTTTGCCTCATGGATCTTCGCGATCCCATTTCTTGAGTATTGGAATTTTCTAAATTTCTAGCCATTATATTTTTCTTATTCGTTTTATCAAAGAACCTTTGCAAATAAAAAAACTTCTAATAATAAGAACGTATGAAAAATATTCAAATGGACTGAAAATAGAAAAAAAACCTTTTTATGCGAGAGTCTTATACGAGTATGGATTTCAACTCTCAATGAAAGCACAAATTTGTGGATACAAATTTCCGCCTTCTTCTTCTTGAACAAAATTGCACTTACAAAATAATCAACACCTTTGGTCAAGGCCAAGAACCTCACACACCCACGATGAATGAGGGGGCTTTGGCCGAAGAACCTCCGATGCCAAAGTTAGAATTTAGAGAGAAAAAGTGTTTGGAGATTTTTTTGGAGTTTTGCAAGAGTATCAACTTAACTTTTTAGAAGAAATAGGGTCATATATATAGGGAATGGGGTGTGGCCGGCCTTTAAGTGTGTTTTGGGGTGTTATTTGGTGATTCAATTAGCAATTAATATATTAATTAGGTATAAATATATTAATTGGCTAATTATCATAATAAAAGAAATGTTATGGGAGGGTTTTGGAGGTTATGGAATGAGGATGGATGATACAAATTTGAACTTATTACCTATTTTGGGTACTCTTGATTTGGTTGATGGATGATTCTCCACTGCTCGCGTGTAGGAGATCCGGTATGCCTCGAGGGTAAATTTGTTATCTTCATCCAAAAATCCACGTGTTGCCTTGTGATTATTTTTTGCTCCACATTTGGCATGAAAAGAGTCTCATATCAAGTTACTTCCTATATTACTAATTGATTTTATAATCCTCAATTTTCTTGATAAATGAGAATTTTTTAGTGCCATAATAATAAAGCAGCAGGAGGTATAATAAGTGAACATGGACTCTTCAAAAGGGATTTAATCCATGAGGCAGCAACTTTCGTGGCTCAAAAGCCATACCTATATTTTGAGGATGATATTGATATGTATTGGTGGCCCAATATTTGGTTTATCCTATTTAATTTGGTGAAATGGGTAGCTTAATTAAATAAAGTCATACATTTTCATCCGGTTAATGTTAGGTGGATAAATTTTAAAGGGACACTTTGGATGAAGTTCTTAACTACCAATGTTCTTTGACTGAAACCTTAGTTGTTTTTAATTTTTTATCGAAGTTCCTAACATTAATGTAATAATATATTTTTAAATTAAAAATGAAATTTGTAGTTATTTATATATAATGAGATTTTAAATAAAATCCATTACTTAGGCGATTTAAAATATTAAAGATGAATTATACTCTCCAATGTATTTTGTGTGTGTGTGTGTGTGTGGGTACTGACACACCCCGTCCCGAAGGAGGGCATGCTGGCCGTCACGTGAGAGTGACGTAACCATTTGCACAGTACGGAAGCTTTAAGATACAATTTAAATTGATACACCCGAAGGTGAGTCCTAATTTTGTCCAATCTGTCAGAACACCGTCGAATTCCTCGTAGTCACCACACCTTTGTGATTCCTGAACCTGGAGGGGCGCAAAACCAAAATTGAGTGGGTCAGTAAAACAATTCTTTTCCAAATCCAAACATTTCTCAAACGTTGTAACCCCTCTCCGTAAAACCTGTATACTTTCCCAGAAATGTAAAATATAAATATACATATATATTCTCAAAACTTCATTTTTACTATCTCAACATTATCTCTTTATCAATCATGCCATGCCATGTCATCTCAACATTTCTCATATTAATTATGCCATGCCACATCATCTCAACAGTAATAAGGTATGAATGCATCAACATAATCATATCAGGTGCAAGAAAGTAAATCAACCGTGGGCCCTCTAATAGCCCTATACGGTTGAACCTAGAGCTCAAAATCTATATCATTATCACTCTACCGGAGTCACCTCTGTGACCCGTCCGGCCTTCTGCACACAAGTTACGCTCTAGTGCTTCTCATAAATCATCTGTGCACATAATCTAAGGTCACCCCACCAGTCGGAATCTCACTAACACTCTCGCGACTGGTCTGTCGTACCCACTCCGCGTGGACTGTACGACTAGCATCTACTTGGATCCAAGGCGAGCGTGGATGCGGTGAATACTATAAGCACTAAACCATGGTGCAGGATTTGAGCTCAATATATATCATCATCATCATAACAGTAATTAAAATACTCATCTGTGCGTCCACCGCACCATTTCATACATATGCATCATAAATCAATTCTTACCTGTGCGTCCACCGCACCAATTCATACATATGCATCATATATTAATTCATGCATGGCATTTCAACTCACATTTCTATATACTTTTCATATCAATTCTATGCATGGTATTTCACTTCCCGTTTTTCCACATAACTCATATGCATTTCATTTTAAACATAATTTCATGCATTTTCAATTTCTGGGAAAACGTTAAGTATATATATATATACGGAAAACAAAACTGCCCACTCACCTGGAGTTCGCCCTACAACTCCCTAGCACAATACGCCAAGGCGTCATGACGATCGGCGCCTAAAACAATAATCAATTCCAACCTCAGAATTCATATCGATAGAATATATAAACTTATATAAAATACGTCACTACGTAGATTGATCCGGAAGATCCACCCTCAGATTTTAAATCCATAACTTCCAGAGGTCCACATTATACCTCTAGGACAACATCCTAAAATTTCATTACCATCAACGGTCGGATCTCCGTCAATTTCCAAAACTAAGTGACGGTTAACATTTTATATTATGGACTTACAATTCCAATTCGGAAGATCCGTTAACTCGGATTCCCAATCCGTAAGTTCCAATAATCCTCAAATATTACGTATTACAACGTATCAAAGTTTGGTGACGATCCAACGGTCGGATCATCAATTCACATTTTCACCTAAATGTGAAAACTATAAGACGTTATTTGAACACCTAACCAACAATCTTCAATAACTTTCTCATACGGTGTTCAATTTAGGTATATGAATATACCACAGTGATCTACTCGACGTCCACGGACGTCGACATATTTTTAAAATAATTTTATTTTTATTTTTTATTTTTACTGTAGCACCTTCTTCTTCCTTGGGTCGCCGGACTGGTTTTTCCGGCGGCCGTTTTCTGGGCAGTTTTTCAAATTGCCATAACTTTGTCATTTCTCAACGAAATCAAGTGATTCAAAAACGAAAGTTGTATCCCTTGAAGAGACAAAGAGAATGGTACCTTTCCCAACACCTAGTTCGCCGTAGTTTGGCCGGAAACTGCCTCGAAAGCCTCGGAGGTCGCCGGAAACTGGGTATTTTTCAAATGAGTTAACTTCTTCAATACTCAATGAAATGAGTGAAACAAAAAGGAAAGTTGTAGTACTTGACGAGACGAAAGATTGATACCTACCTCGACGCCTAACTCGCGGGGATTCGCCGGAAAATGCCTCGAAAGCTCCGGCCAAACTTTGAACTTATCGATCTCCGTGTTCTTTACGTCCAAAAACTTCCAACGAAGCACTCCGAGCTTCCTTGGAACCTCACTAAGTCACTGTGAGCTTGGATGTCCTAAAACAAGTCAATTCGAAGATCATGAACAGTGCACTTTCACGGGAGTTTAGAATCTAGGTTTTCGAAGTAAAAACTTACCTGAAATTGGTGTCTACGTGATTGTGGAGTCTCCAGGAGTTCGATGGTGGTCTTAACTCCGTCGTTGGTGGATTTAAGGTTGTTTT